TATGATTATCAACTTTTTAGTATTGCATTTTTTTTATTTTTACAAACAGGAAAACATACGGTATTAAAAAATTCTAAAAAAATTCTGAAAAAATTCTCAGAACTTTATAAAAAGAAAATATATGATTTTTGTCTCTTGCAGTTTTTCTGTAAAGTTGATAGTATTGAGTAAAAAATTATTCAAGACCAATATTCATCAATTTTTAGTAATTAATATGTTAACTTCTGCAAAATGATAGAGGACATTTCGACTCAGTTTAGTCCACTCTATCTACATACTCGTAAAAGCGATTAGCAAAAACTTTCAAGGCAACCTGTATATATATATATATATACCATGGTATATACATTGAAGCAAAAATGGCTCTTGTGCGTCAATGTTGAATAACTCGATGAAAAAAAATTGTACCGAGCTTCGTAAAAACGTAAATTAAAGGTAAAGATTCGTTCTTTCGAATGATGTAAATCGCATTTGTATACAATTTTTAGTCCATTCCGTGGAACTCCGCAATTTTCGTAGAAAATTTTGAGATTTGATATATCTTCGTTTATATTTGTGTAACTTCATAAAATCTTCATGAGATTGTTTTTTAAGTATCTGAACAGTAGATCTGAAAAGTAGACGTTTTAAATACTTTTTTACTGCAAAATGCTTTTTTAAATATCTCGATATGACAATTTTTGACAAAGTTATTGTATCTTAAAATTTGCATGCAGCTATTGGACAAAATTAGAGTCACTTAAAATTTGCGTTAAAAAAAACCAAATTTAAATTTCACATATCTCCGCGAAAAATGATCGCAAAACGATGAAAAACATTTTAAAAAACATAACTTCTTTAATCGTAAATAAAGTTTAACATTTTTTCTTTAAAATAATTTTTTATTATTATGCTACAATTTTTTTCACTAAGTAATTTAAAGCAAAAGGACCATTTTTGCTTCAACGTTAAATAACTCGATGAAAAAGAGTCGTACGGAGCTTCGTAAAAAAAGCAAATTAAAAGTAAAAATTTACTCCTTCGAATGATGTAAATCGCATTTTTATACAATTTTTATTTCACTCCGTGGAACTCCGCAAATTTCATAAAAAATTTTGAGATCTAATATATCTTTATTTGTGTAACTTCATAAAATCTCCACAAAACCGTTTTTTTAAGTAGCGACCCGAAAAGTAGAGGTTTGTGTGTAAAATGCTTTTTTAAACATCCCGATACGACAATTTTTGACAAAGGTATTA